TACAGCTGCCAGGGAGACTCTGCCAGCAGCCTGAAGGACCCTGTGTCCCTCCCCAGCTAGGCCTCCAGACACGCCGAGCGGGGCCCCTGACAAGCCACGTGCAGACCCACAAAACCGACCGATACCAAATGCAGTTTCAGCTCTTCGGCCTGTGAACTGCACTAAGCAGCCACAGGAAACAAACATAGGCCCTCCCGAGGGCGGGCCTGCAGTGGCCACGGTCCCAGCAGCATGGCCGGGACATCAGATTCCTGACCCACGGAAACTGATGTTTAAAGCTGCTAAGTTTTAGGGTAATTTGTTACATAGCAGTAGATGACGAATACAGCATGAAACAGGCAGAAGCACAAACACGAAAAGGAAGGGGGATGATAACCTAGAACAACAAGAGAATCAACTTTAAAAAATCAAGGTCAATAAACTGGGCAGATTCAAGATACAAACACAGGAATATGTTAGGAATATATCACATTCTACACTTGGAAGTACTTGTACGGTGTGTGAGTATCACTCAACTCTTAGCAGCAACACAAGTTACAGTAACCCAGGAACGGATCTGACCTACATGAACAAAGCTACAACTTTTTAGTGAGCAACATCAGGACTTTTTTTTTTTTAAATATATTTATTTATTTATTTTTGGCTTTGTTGGGTCTTCGTTGCAGTGCGTGGGCTTCTCATCGCAGAGGCTTCTCTTGTGGAGCACGGGCTCTAGGCCTGTGGGCTTCAGTAGTTGTGGTGCAAGGGCTTAGTTGCTCCGCAGCATGTGGGATCTTCCCGGACCGGGGCACGAACCCGTGTCTCTTGCATCAGCAGGCGGACACTGCCACCAGGGAAGCCCGGCAAGCAGATTCTTAACCACTGTGCCACCAGGGGAGTCCCACAACATAAGGACTTTAATCAAAATAAGGAGATTCCTTATGGAATATGACAAGATTGTATCACTTTCTGGAAGAACTAACAAGTAGGATTAGTTAAGAGCAATGGTATCAGAGCCAAAAGAGACTGGCAGGTACAGCCAGGAAGAGCCGAGTGGATTCTCACGTGTCAAAAACCTGGTGAAATGTCAAATAGACACCACATGCCAACAGGGAAGGGAAGCTCTACTCCATAGATGGTATGAGCCAACTCTAGCTATTCAGACCTTCAACTGCAGCCTGGCCCCCATCCCCACCATCACACAGAAGGCAGGCGTGCGACACCTGCCCCGCAAATTTTAAATGGGCGTTTCTTGTGCTTGATCATCACCAACACACCCATGGAGACACGGCCTCAGTATGTAACCGGAAATTCAAGTCCACCAACCACGAATGTGCGCAGTAAGGCTGGAGAGACAGCCTGTCAGGCAGGAGACCCCAGGTCATCACGTTCACCCCCAACAGGCCTTCATGATGGGCTCGCCTCTGCCCTCAGGCCTGATCTACTCACTCGCCCCTTCCTGGTCCCCCGCCCTCCCTGCCCTCAGGATCACACCCCCAAACTCGCTGCTCAGCCTACAAGGCCTACTAGGCTCCTACTCCTGTTGTGCTGTGGCCACAGGATTCCTCGAATGGCTGTGCTTGTCGGAGACAGCAGGGAAAGAAGGCGAGCAGGTGGGCCAAGCAAGCCCCACAGATGCAGTGTGACAACCAGCCTCTGTGTCGAGAGCCACCAGGCAGGCTGGGGCCCTGTTTTCCCTCCAGCTGATCAGTGTCTTAGATGCTTTCTAAAAGCTACAAACTGGGTTTCAACATGAAGTCGCATTTTAGATGCTGGCGACGAACCAAAATTTAACACTCAGGGGCTAATAAGACTTTGGACTTTGCAGCTCAAATGAATCACATCTCTGAAACACATGGGACCTTCTGCTCTGCAACCCCTAGCCTCTGCTCCAGGGTGTCGAACCCCAGACACCCACCTTCCTACCTGGAATTTCGGGGGGGAGGGTCCATCCTTCCTCCACTCACCCTCTTAATGGGCTCTGTAATATAAGGGCACTGGCTCAGGAAGCACCCCATGACAGCTCGGTCCACGGCCCCTTCTCACACAGGCCACGTGCTCTGTGGATGTCACAGCACTTGCCATGGCAACTGCACACACTCTGCAGTGGGGCCCAGGACCGAGGGTCCCGAGGGCATCTGCCCTCCAGCACCCTGGCCAGAGCGAGGTGAGGCAAACAGACCCCCTCGGACACTGATGGTCATGGGTGAAATGGAGCAACCCCTGGGGTGAGCGGCCTGGAAATTTATTTTTTGAATCTTAAGTGGGCATTTCTTTTTACGGAGTGACTATACTTGCAGAAATTTAAGAGTATGATTCACTAAGGTGTGCAAACTTTTATGTCCAAGGCTATGTAATATAACATGTTTATAACAGTTAAAAGCTGGGCACAAACGTCCATCTATTAAATCGGAGTATTTGACAATCCCATTTAAAGAAAAAAGTGGTTATAAGAAAAATTATCATTGTGAGGAAAAAAATGGAAGATATGAAAAAGTGAAATTATATACAGAGTATGACTACAACTGCTTAAAAACCACACAGACTCCCAAGTTACATCTCAAAAAGAAAATGGGAGAAAACATACTAAACCCCTCGTCATGGTGTTGACGTGGTAAGATGGCAGATTTCTGTCTCCTCTTTGTTTAGCACAACAGCCTAGACGCCCTGGGGACAGTCAGTACACTCGTGGAGAATGCAGGAGACGATGACTACAGCATGAAACAGGCAGAAGTACACACACAGAAAGGAAGAGGGATGATCGCTCACACACACACACACACACACACACACGCGCGCGCGAACGCCGAGCTCCGCGCTCAATGCAGGAGCAGCTCGTCAACCCCTCATTCACCTTGTTACCCCAAGTCTACCCCCAGCCCTGACAAGCGTCCAGGAGTGGATCTACTAGCAGAGAAATATTTCAGACACCGTCTTTTTTTTAAACCGTGGCACCCCAGCCTCCTGCCTGCACGGGGAGCCCCGTCCTGTCTCAGCTTCCCAGGAGCTGGCCTCACAGTCCAACTGTGTGGAAACGTAGTAGCAAGAGAACGTCTATCAACTATATCAAAACAAGGGATGAGGCCTTATCGGGAAGACCCTTTATTTGCTGACAGAGGTGAAATCTTGCTCCAAATGTCTACACATCTCAATGCACCAGACAGCTGTGTACTTGGCAGCTATGGCGTGCGGGGACCCAGAAGCTCCACGCTAGAAATGATGCTAGAGATACGTTCGGTAGATTACTCCTTTCTGCCCGTGGACGCAGCCGAGTAAGCATCGTTGACGTCTCCCCGCCCCGCACTGCCGTCACGTCTAAGTCAGGGTCTCCCAAAGAGCTGCACAGCTGCAGCAGCTCTTCGTCAGAGGTTTGAGCCTTGAAACAAGCGACGCGAGCCTGAGGAGGCATCCTGAGCGGCGGGGAGTGCGCACAGACTGTGTGGCGACGAGAGATCCAAGCACCAGGCACTCCAGAGACTTCAGGGTTGTCACACACGCCACTGTGGAGGATGTGGGTGCGGCCATGAAAGCAAGGCCACACGAGGTGGATGGGAGAGTTGTGGAACCCAAGAGGGCCGTCTCAAGAGAAGATTCTCAAAGACCTGGTGCCCACTTAAGTGTGAAAAATATTTTTGTTGGTGGCATTAAAGAAGACACTGAAGAACATCATCTAAGAGATTATTTTGAACAGTATGGGAAAACTGAAGTGATTAAAATCATGACTGATGGAGGCAGTGGCAAGAAGTGAGGCTTTGCTTTCGTAACCTTTGATGACCATGACTCTGTAGACAAGACTGTCATTCAGAAATACCACACTGTGAATGGCCACAACTGTGAAGTAAGGAAAGCCCTATCTGAGCAAGAGATGGCTAGTGCCTCATCCAGCCAAAGAGGCCGAAGTGGTTCTGGAAACTTTGGTGGTGGTCGTGGAGGGGGGTTTTGGTGGGAATGACAACTTTGGTCGTGGAGGAGACTTCAGTGGTCGAGGTGGCTTTGGTGGCAGCTGCGGTGGCGGGGGATATGGTGGCAGTGGATAAGGTGGCAGTGGGGATGGCTATAATGGGTTTGGTAATGATGGAAGCAATTCTGGAGGTGGTGGAAGCTTCAATGATTTCGGCAGTTACAATAATCAATCTTCAAATTTTGGACCCATGAAAGGAGGAAACTTTGGAGGCAGAAGTTCTGGCCCCTAGGGTGGTGGAGGTCAATAGTCTGCCAAACCCCGAAACCAAGGTGGCTGTGGTGGTTCCAGCAGCAGCAGTAGCTGTGGCAGTGGCAGAAGGTTTTGATTACTGCCAGGAAACAAAGCTTAGCAGGAGAGGAGAGCCAGAGAAGTGACAGGGAAGCTACAGGTTACAACAGATCTGTGAGCTCAGCCAAGCACAGTGGTGGCAGGGCCTAGCTGCTACAAAGAAGACATGTTTTAGACAATACTCATGTGTATGGGCAAAAAAACTCGAGGACTGTTATTTGTGACTAACTGTATAACAGGTTATTTTAGTTTCTGTTCTGTGGAAAGGGTAAAGCATTCCAGCAAAGGGTTTTAATGTAGGTTTTTTTTTTTGCACCCACGCTGTTGACTGCTAAACGTGATAGTCTGATCGTGACGCTGAATAAACGTGTCGTTGCCACTGTTCACATGAACAGAAGATACATACCCCAGGGGCAGAAATACGGTAAAAATCTAGTTTTAATTTGTTAGGCATCATTTTACCAATACTGAAAACAAAGATCAGAAAGAAAGCCCTACATTGAGAGAACACATTCCACACTTGAATATGGCAGCTGGTGGACCCAACAGTAAGGGATATAGATTTCTGAGAGTGAAATAAAGTCAAGAATTACAATAAAATGAAAACTCAGCTGCAGAAGGAGCCAAACACGGGACCTGGGAACCGTGTGTAAATGCTGTTACGTCTTGGCCGGTGATCTGCTCTGGTTTATTCCAGGAGACACGAAACATCACTAGGACTGGTTAATTCCTTCCCTCCGCCAGAAACGGTAAGATTGGGGTTACTCACGTGATATCCCTTCGCTGATAGCAGCCCTGAAGTAGGCAGGCGATCAGGTCACTGATAAACTCCACGTCATCTCTGTGAAGAGCTGCTTCTAACTCCTGAGGAGGAGAAGGGAGAGGGATTGAGAGCTCAGACACGGATGCAGATTTCCTAACAGCCAGCAGCTCATCCCTTCCAGGTCGCCACCACACCACCACTGCCGTCACCGTCACGGGCCAACTGCCCTCCTTTTTGGTTTTCCAAGAGTTTACTCCCCCACTGCTCCTTACCAAGCTCCATTCCTTTCACCTGCACACACAGACACCTCTTTTTACAAGTCAATGCAGCACAGTCATAAAAGAGCTTAACTTATATTAATATACTGTTTTGCTTTCTATTACTTTGCAAGAGTGTAAAGGAGCCAATACGTAATTACTCAGAAAGTATTCATTTACTGAAGAGTTTCAGCAGGCAAGCCAACCGCAACAGCTTTCCAGAGCCACGCTACCTTGAGAAGCGGCACTAGGAAGTGAGCAATCTGTGGTCCCCACAGGCCCGGGGAGGGGCTGCCAGCGCCAAGGCCGAGCTGACATCACCTGAAGGGAAGTGAGGCGATGCCGTGCTAAGGGGCTAATCCCAGGGGAGGTGCACGTGCTGTCCTTGGGGTTTAGGCAGAGATGCCAAAGATTTAGCTTGACTTTGCACAGACCCTGAACAAAGGTTCGTTGAGGAGCTACAGGGACAAAAGGTGACAGCGTGGAATTTTGGGAGATTCTATTCCCTTCTCAAGTTCCCACAGTGAACCAGTGTTTCCTGAGATGATGGAACATGCCCCAATCACCAGCTCCCGGGATGCAGAGAGGGCCCACGTCTGGTCCACCAGGATGCCGTCCACCCACCATGCAAGTCATTGCCCAAGGGTCCACTACGCTTGTGGTGTGGTCGGCTCATAAGCAAAACTGCGAGGGTCTTATGAGTGGTTTGGAAAGCATGAGGTGTGCCGAATATGCAGCTTCTGTTCTGCCCACACCAAGTACCGGGCAGTGTACACAAGAGGTGGGGATCCACTTCTGCTGTAAAAATGGTAATGGTCTTTTTAAAGCTATTTTAATTGTTCCGTTTATTATTCTATGTTTAAAAGTTTCTAAGTTTGTAAACACGCACTCCGAAAACTTCACATGACAAAAAACTGCTAAACACACCAACTGATAGAAGCAAACAAAATACAAACTACCCTGAGAAGGAAAGGGCATAGACGTCTTGAAAGCCCAGGTGAGCGAAACTCAGAATTCAAAGACGAGGCCCAGCGTGAAAACCTTGTGCCTGCCCTACATACAAATTTGGTAACGATGAGCATGTCTATTACAATGGCTCTTATTCTTCTATTAGCTTACTAATTCCTTTGGGCAGAGCTCTTTTCTACATTCTACCGACCAAACATAACAAGGATTTGAACTATATTTGGTCAGAATTCATTTATTCAACAAACATTTCCGGGGCACCCAGCACTTCCCGAGCCCTGGGGAGCTGGAGTCAGCGGGGGGAGTAGACGGGACACAGCACCGCTGGGCATAGAACCGGTGCTGTGGGAGGGACGGGCACTGCTCCAGGGGCCCAACACCCGGGGTGGGGCTGCACACGGGGCAGGTGGGCCCGGCCTGCCGTGGAGAGGGTGGGACCCGCCCGGCTGCTGCGGCAGAGGGTGGAGATGAGGCCACTGCGGCTCGAGCAACAGCCCAGAGGAGACTCTGAGGGACTTAGCTGAACGAGACAGACAGCAGGAGGGGAGACACGCACATCCAGAGCCCAACAGGAGCACAGGAGGGACAGAGCAAGGGAAGATTCAGGCTCCTACTGAAGCCCAGTCACACTGGGCAAGACCCCAAAGGAAACCGCAGTAAGAGAAGAGGCTGGACCCTTGAAGCACAAAGTCCCAGGCCACCTCGTTCAATAGATTAGCCAGAATTACTGACACTAGAACCGGAAGGAAAACATCCACAAACCAATGATGGGAATGTGTCATGAACCAAGAATTATGAAATACAACCTGTGAATCTGAGGTTTAAAAAAGGAAAGAAAAAACTGTTGCACTGTGCTTTCTGCTGGCCTCAGAGCCCAGGCTTCATTGGTGATTCAACCACTGTTTTCTTCTTTAATATTTATTTGTTTATTTGGTTGTGCCGGGTCTTAATTGCGGCATGCATGTGGGATCTAGTTCCCTAACCAGGGATCGAACTGAGGCCCCCTGCATTGGGCGTGCAGAGTCCCTTCCACTGCGCCACCAGGGAAGTCCCCAACCATTGTTTTCTTAACATTATCAGCAGAAAGTGAAGACTAACACCCCTATCTACATTTGAAAAAATTATTAAATGATCTGTTCTGTCCAACTCTGGCAGAGAGTCTAAATGGCACTGGTGAAAACCTATCCCCAGTGAACCTGGGCTTGCCTTTCTGGCACAACCATAATCTAGGTAGCCACTGGGAAGGCGGTTACATACGAGGCTGTGCATCGGGGATGCTGAATCAGCTCTTCCAAGGGCAACTGGACAGGCTTGAAATGTCTCTCAAAAGAGTACTGAGAAGGGCTCTGATATCATGAATGCAATCCCACCCCCTGCCTCCCATTTCACCCATGGGATACGGTGACTCACAAACAGTAACTCACAAAATATACAATTGCTTTTCATATGTATTTCTATGATACTATGCTTCATAAATCAGAAGCTACCTAGAAAACAAACCAAAATAGATGCAGGCCCCTGGTAACTTGTGAGGTGCACTTTTCCCTCTAGCTCGGCAGGGCTTGACCCACACAAGTGGTGGGCAGTCCGAGGAAGAAGGCACTGCCTCTGGACAGCCCGCTGTCCTCCCCTGCAGCTGCCACATGGTGACCAGGGCACCGGGCGCAGCCTCGGCACTCACGGCCCTCGGCCTAATGTTACAGAGAGACAGCAGAGGAGAAACAGGAGAGCAATTTCAATCCCGCTGAACAAAAAAAAGTGCCGGCTTATCGGTTAAAATGTTTTCACTTCAATGGATAGAGTTTCAGATTTGCAAGGTGAAAACGTTTTGGAGCTGATTCAGAACAATGTGAATATACTTAACACTCCTGAATTGTGCACCTAAAACGATGCTAAATTTTGTGTCTTTTACCACAATTTATTATAGGAAGAAAAAACTTTATCACATTAAAAGTTCCCCTGTGCAGGGGTTGTTGTGATGATTTAAATGAGGCAATGCTTATAAAAGCCAGACCAGCCTGGCACACAGCAAATGCTCTATAGCATGTGAGCACAGCAATTATCTCATCTTCCTTAAGTGGTGGTGTGTAGAAAAAAGCAGACTGAAGAGATAGAAAGCGGTCTTTTCAAAATTCAGGTTTCTGAACAACAGAAATTCAAACTCTTAATACACGGCCTGTGTGCATGAGCCAATAAAACCATCTCCAGATCCAGTTATTCAAAGCCTTACCACATACGCCTTCAGCCGGGAGCCTGAGGCTTAGGCTAAGGCAACGAGAAATAAACACGCTTCAAGCGCCCCACCCCCACTTTCCTCCTCCCCTTTTGTATTTCCTTTTCACTGTGGGCACTGAGCTGTGAGGACAGAAATCTGAACTTTGCCAAGATGCTCTGGGGCGGGGGCGGGGGGTGGTGGTGATCAGCAAATCAGCCGAGAAGGGACACGAGAAGGGCTCCTGGGCTCCCGCTCTTCAGAGGGGCCGGAGGGAGAACAGGGCTCGCCCTCTCTGCAGCTGGCGGCACAGCTCATTAGGGACGGGCCTGTTCAGCACCGGCACACGGCCCTGCCCTCGGGACCCAGCGGTGGCTGCTGGGAAAAGAACCCCAGGGTGAGCCAGGGAGGGAAAGGGGGCCCTTAGCCTATGTCGTGGAAACTCTTCGCCACAAACAGGGAGAATGTCCAGAAGAGACAGCCAAGTGCAGCACAGGGAACACAACTAACTCCTTCGACGCACGGCCACCACTTAGCACCTGTTCTCAAATGTCACTGCAGGGACTTTCTACTGTTTGATCTGCTCCTGAGCGCCGTACAAGTCTTCTTTAATCTTTTGCGAAAGAAGGTGGTAAAGAGAGAACAACTTTCTTTCCTTCAACTTCCAAGGAAGGATGAAGATCACAGAGCTGCACCCTCCGGGCACAAAGATCCTGCTGAGTGTACCTAAGGAGGGAAAAAGGGCTAAGGAAAACAGCCATATGTGCTGTATTTGATTTCAGAAGGTTACGAATCTTTCTCACCTGCACAGGAACCAACTGCAAGGCAGTAGGGGTCACAGTCAAAGGCGGGGGCTTCTGCGTGGGCCCCAGAACTGCACTCACACAAAGGAGATGCACAGCAGGCCCTCCGAGGACCATCCCAGCTGCTCTCCATGAGACCGCCTGGGGAGCGGGCTCAGCCTCCAGAAGGCCTCCCTGGCTCTGGCCGCTGATGCTTTCTAACGTGATATAAATTAATTTAATCCCAAAGGCTGCCCGGGCCAATTCAAACCGTGCGGTATACATCAGCCCAAGCGGGTTACCGCTGAGGATCCCCGAAGTGCTACCCCAACGTCCTCCCCGTGGCCGGCAGCTCTGCACCGCGGCTTCGCTGCAGACACACCTTCCTCTCGGCAGCCCACAACATGGCTGTCACTGGCTGTGATGCTGGGGAACAACAGAAAGGAAACCACATAGCTCCCCTCAGATAGGACTGCTACCCTAGAATATTAGATTACTGCAAAATACTAATCAAAGCAATAAATGTGTAAACCTACAAGAAATTGATTTTCTAAAAAGGTATACATTACCAAAACTGGCTCCAGAAATTTTTAAAAAGGCTCAGAACTTTCATGGATCTTCTCCCACAAGAAAGCCCCCACGATACACAAATAATTCCTGAGCACTGAAGAGATGGAAGCTTCGCAACACGTCCACAAAGCTGGTGCTGGATGAGCAGGGCCCTGCGGCCCCTACAAGCCTCAGACCCAGGTCGGCGTATGGACGTCATCGCAGAGACTGTGCCCCTCGGATCCCACGGCGCATGGACGTGGCACAGCTTCCTAGAAAGCCGGGTTTACTCTGATTGTTTTGTTTTCATCGTTGTTGCTTGTTGTTTCGAAAGA